TACGAAATCAATAATGTCTGAGAGAGTTATCTGATATAATCAGCAGTTTCACTTAACAGATTTCCATTTACTGAGTCTACTTACTGTATTGGACTCAGTAAATTTTCATTAGGTGGGTAGTGTTTAAACAAAGTACCCTACACAAAAAACTTTGATGTTTTGGGGGGCAAATATACTAATGGTGCGATTCACTGAAAGCTTATTCTGCACATCGATGTCAAAAAATTGTAACCATGCACATCTCCTACAATATCCTCGTGACACTTCAGCATCATGTAGAAAAGTTAACAAAAAGTTTATATGTAATGCTTTTTGTTCTGAATATTCAACATAAAATGAGCAGGGATTCATTAAATTAACATCACAAGAAAACTGGTTCTTTATGCTTGCTTGGTCTCTGCTAATGTATTTACATACCATGTTGTCATTGATGCCATACTTTACTTGGCTTTTAAAGCCCGAGCCTTAAAAACAACACTACTATTAAGCTGGCTGCTGTTATACTGGAAAATATAGCTATACAGCGTAGTAAATGATGTTCAGCTTGTTTATTTTAGTCTGTATTTTGAAAATACATGATTGCTACTAAAACTTCATTTCTGAGGTGTTGAAATCTTTGCACTACCTAAAGTAGATTGAGGAAAAAATGTCTGACAAACACTGTGCAAATAATTATTTTCTTCTTCACTCGTTTCATCGTGCGTGAATGCACCCAAACGGTCTCCCTTTTGGCCAATCTGGGGACATCGAAATTCAGAAGACTTGCAAATCGTGTAGAATGGAGACATGATAAGAGAAAAGTGGCACATTTTTATAGTTTCTCACAAGCACAGAAACCAAACCGTATCTGGGGTTTTAATTACCGATATCATGACATTGTTATGAAGGACACCGTAGTAAATGGTTCCAGGAACTTTACCTTCATCCAAATGCTGCTACCAGAGCCAAAATGGAACATGCGATTTCTGGGTAAGCAGCCGAGTACCGTAACTGCTACACTGTGAATGTCACAGACAGCTCTGAATGATATTTTCAGATATTTGAAATCATGCTGGTACATGGTGCATGCAGAAATGTGTACCTATCCAGCAAAACATTATGTGTCAACTTACACCTGGCAGCCCCTTCTTAATATGGTACACCTTCCTCGTGACAATAATGTGCAGCTGCAGAGGTTAGTAATGTTATCATTTTTGAATCACATTTAAGATTGACAAAAATGAAGAAAACTGGTATAAGACACATCCTAGCAGAGCACTCTCGAAGCTGGATCACGGAGTTATTCACTTTGCTGTACAGCGTCCGAATTATTTCATGCACATCATACCTAATTCTCAGAATAAAGCATCAGTATTATCTATCCCCTGGTCAGTTTTGTACTATTTATGAGGCCAAAGAATTTGCATGCTAAAAGCGGTGCTGCCTTCACATGCATGCATCGCAGCTTGCCAAGTTTCGCTAGTGGCAGTGGAGTGCACACATGCACAGTAAATTGCCGACACATAAGCACAAACTGCTCTGACGCTCTCCTCCCGCAGTTTGCAGTGTGTTTTGTGCGGGCAGCTTCATATAGCCACAGATGTAAAAATCTCAGTACATTTGATATCAGTGCTCCTTTGAGAATTCGACCTGAAGTCACTTCAGCGCAGCTTCTGAAGCATCAAAAGCCCAACAACTTCAAGTTAAAGTTTTTATTATTAGAGCAGGAGTGGTTGCCTTACGTTTAGGGAAATGAAGATTTATGTTTATTTATAATGTTCGACAATATAGAACTGAATGTTTGTGTTTTTTTGCAGATATCACTAGGTTTATTTATTCCCATGACTGCAGTTGGTGACAAATTGATTAGCCACTCCTTTTAATGTGCCAAATCTATTTGACTGCAACGTGAGGGAAGACTTCCACAGCATCCAGAAAGAAAAACTAAAACATAGGTATTCAATTGCAATGTGAGCGCCGACCTTAGGTTAAAAATTAAAAAAAAGCTCATTAAAAATAACTTAGTTGAATCAGGCTTCATTACAGTATTGCTTTCATTACAGTATTGCAAGTGCGAGCTATGTAAATTCTGCATGTGCTCTGTTCGCAATTGATAAGCAACTGTTTTTATAGCTTTAGTGCTTTAGGCACAATGCACGTCTTCACTGTGTGACGTAGTGCCCGCCATAGGTCGGCAAAAGAAAGTAAAACTCACTTAATCTCACTCAAGAAATATGTCTCAGACTATGACTAATTAATATTTTCGTCAACCTGGCTCACTTAATCTCGGAACTGCCAAAATTTTCCTAAGCCAAACTCACTCATGCTCACGCTAAGATTTTCTCCAACCGTAATCACTCAGACTAAGCCCCGTATTCATTAACGCTCCTTAGCTTGAACTGGACTTGTCACCATCTTCAATGCGGCACATTTTAAATACGTCTGTGCGTTTGTGCTGCCTTGGCACAGCCTACATCAGGGCATTCTAAACACGTTCGTGCTACATTGAAGGTGACAGCAAGTTGAGTTCGAGCTATATTGTTTATGATTACAGGGGTAAGACTCACCAAAATATTACTCCCTCGGACTCCCCCAGACTTGCGGCTTGATCTAAGTGAGTCGAATTATGAGTTCAATAAATGTAGGTCCAGCTCTGATAGGTTTTGGACAAACTGACAGAGTCCCGATTCTCTAACATACTAATAAATACAGGCTTTTATAAATATTTGAACACATTTACCCAAAATGTACCCAGAACATTGGGCCATTTAAAGGCTTAGTGTTTAACTTTGACACGTTCACCGAGGTGAAAATGTGCCAAACTTGAGAAGCAGAACACAGACAGCAGTATACTGTGAAACCGTATTATTTGACAAATCCCCCTGGCCACTGGAACGGTATAACTGGTGACAAGTTTGACCGCACGTTGTATAATATTAAAACTAGTGTGCCCTGCATGAACCCTTCTGGAAGTCAATGACAATAAACAGTAGTTATCATTTTGTAAAGCTATGAAACGAAATAAAGATGGCCTATTCAAGAAGTTGCTCATACTTCATTCAAGAAGTTGCTCATACCCTCCTCTCGACCCTCACCACCTAATGCGAGAGCCTTGTCATTTTATTCAGCACTTGCAAACAGCCTTCAGCCTTGATAAAATTGTGCTACATGTAAGCTCCCATGCATTTCTTGTACCATGAGCTCTTTCTTCGAAGCAAGCATTCCACAAGCAGTTCACTGCAAAGTCATGGTGCTGTAGTTCACAGCAGAACACAGACTTGAATTCTCAAGCGGCCGTTTACAAGACTGCATGCATGTCTATGCAGCTGGGCAAGGTGGTCGCTGCAAACAGCATTGCAGTGTGACCATTTAGGTTTGAGGAGTTGACAACTTGCTCGTTCCAGTGAATCAAGAAAAAAATGAGAGCGCAATTACTGGTACTTTGAGATCTCTTTTGCTGCTTGACCCATGTGGTTCAATTACCACTAAAAAGGCAGTCTTAATTTAAACGAGAATTTCAAGCACGTGCTGCCTTGTTTTTTTTCCTATGAAACACAACAGAAACGGCATCATCGCACACATTCAGTGAAAATTACGCAATTCTCGCTGATATAGCAGGATATAGCAGGTTTCACATTTCAGTGCAGTTTAGCACGAGTGACCCAGCGATCGTATTACGGCAATATTTACTCGCACCAGAGTTGATAATTGCAAGATCAATGTCTTCAAAAACAATGTTAAACATATATTGATGATACCAACAAACTATGAAGTCAACGTAAGCACCGGGGGCATTATTTGTAGTCTTTTTAACTGCAAATGAAAAATAAATATAAATAGCCGATAGACACCTTTCCCATTAGTGGGCCCCTACAACGAAGGTTCTGGATTCAAGCCCCCAAAATAACAAAAGTATTGCTTTGTCCACTTAAATTATTATTTTTCATTCATGTCATCACTTCATTACAGTTAAAAACAACAAATAAAATTTCTTATGCTGATTTGGTCTTTTCGGTTTGTTGACTTCATTAGGATCTGTCTAACAAAGAAACAAGCCTTTTGAACCATTCTCTTACTTTCATTCCTCCAGTTCCCGTGTAACACTGGTAAAAAAGTTGATAGTTGACATTACCTTTTACAACCACAGATATGCCTAAACTGTACGTCAACCAAGCCATTGTGGTACGTGTATGCACAAATGTGCTTGTAAAACGAGACCTACCTTTTCGGCTTCGACAAAAGCCTTTCTTGGCTGCTCTAGAAGATTATCCAGCCGACGCACCAGTTTCCTAGAATTTTTCAGCATGGTGAGGGAGTCCGAATTAAGCAGTAGAAAAAGAAAAAGCAAGTTATTGTCCCAGTGTAAAACTCAACTAATAATAATAATACCTTTATTTGCCATCTTTGTGAAATACTGATGGCAAATTCTGCGAGCGAATACTGCCGTATTTGCTCGCATAATGATTGCACTTCTGAATTTTGTCACCACAATTTTTTATCTCTCTCATTTAAACCTATACTGACCGCACCTCGAACTTACGCACTGGCACTTTTTCGGTTTTGATGCCATATGTTCACAGTTTTGGGAGGTGTACACTGTGCAAAAAGCGAAGTCAGCCCTTGCTTTGCACCATTGTGTCATAAATTCAGTATACAAATCAAACGTGCCTTTAAAAACTATTGAGTATGCATTCGAGGGCGGAACTGTGCCGGAATGTATTTTCCATGTGCTGAAAGCGCGCTTCTACATGACACGCCCATTCACCGTGCGTGCCTGACCCTTGTACGGAAACACGTGTTACTGACGTCACAGTTGCCACTTAAACCGCTGCGAAAAAAAACGGCGGGGCTTTTCTTGCTTGCCTATCGCCTGGACTGCCTCGCCTCCTTTCTTCCACTGATCCCCGACAGATAGCGGTGGGTGGTGCTACGACATGGTGTCAGAAGTTATGTGGTCTGCCCACCTTTAACGCCATCGAAAAAAAAGAGCCATCAAGACGTCGGCACAAACAGAGGCCGAAATGGCCACTGCAACACCGTCACCTCTGCCAGGTCTTCAGCAACCACCGCCACTGGACTTTGACACTACCTCGGAGTGGCCGGCATGGATACAACACTTCGACGACTATCGATATGCGTCGGGCCTGAATGAGCGCTCGAACGAGGAGCAAGTGTGCACTCTGCTGTACACCATGGGGCAGCAAGCAAGGGACATCTTCGTTACCTTCAATCTCTCTCCAGAAGATTCGAAGAAGTTTGAGCTGGTCAAAAATAAGTTCGTCGAGTACTTCATCAAGGCGACAAACGTTGTGTACGAGAGGGCTTGCTTTTACAAGCGGTACCAGGTGCCGGACGAGTCTATTGACCAGTTCATGACGGTTCTACACATTTCGGCAGAAAAATGCGACTTCGGAGAATTGAAGAAGGGCCTCCACCGAGACCGGTTCGTCGTTGGCGTGCAGGACGAAAAATTTTCCGAGTCACTCCAAATGAACCCAAAGCTATCTCTCGCAGCAGCTCTAGCGAAGGCCCGCCTGAAAGAGACAGTCCAGCAGCAACAAGCAGAGCTTCGCAACTCCAACGAGGTTCGCGACAGCACTCAGTCCAATCCATGTGAAGAAGTGAATGTCGACGCAGTGGGTCACCGCACGAAACCGCACCGCAGTGAGGACAGCTCGCTGCCAGCAGTTCGTTACGAAAGACGGTGCATCTTCTGCGGCGGCCACTCTCACACTAGGACAGACTGCGCAGCTAGGGCACAGAAGTGCTTTAACTGCAGTGTAACGGGACATTTTGGAAAGGTATGCCTCAAAGGACCTTCTCCAAGCAACAAGCGAAAAGTATGAGTGTCGTTCATACAAAAAGACACTGGGGAAATTTTTCTAGGCGCAGTGGCTGTGCCTGGCACCAAGGCGCGTTACGTTCAGGTATTGGTTAATGCAGTGCCTGTTTTCGCAAAGGTTGATTTGGGGGCAGAAGTGTCCGTAATGCCAGCATCGTTTCCTGGACTTCCCACGAGTTTAGAAAAGGCCAACGACATCTTGACAGGCGCTAGCGGTGCCCGACTAAATGTTCCGGGCATGTATCAGGTAGATATAGCTCGGAAGGGACAAACTTCTCGCTAAATAAGATATGTCGTCAGTCCTTTGCGCCATGTACTGCTAGGGTTGCCTGCTCTGGAAGCATTAGGAGTTATTAAGTTCACTGACTCTGTCACTGAGAAAAAGTCTGACTACGAGGTTTTATGCCGTCAGGTTTTTGAAGACTTAGGCTGTATGCCCGAGGAGTATACAATCAGGCTAAAACCAGATGCATTTCCATTTGCAGTAAGCGCATCACGCAGGATTCCTATACCGCTTTAAGAACCTGTGAAACGGAAACTGAATAAGATGGAAAAAAGGGGCATAACTCGGGCAGTGAAGAGCCAAAAGAATGGTGTGCCGACGTTGTTTCCGTACAAAAGCCCTCGGGAGACGTAAGGATCTGTGTCGACCTTACGCAGTTGAACAAATTTGTCCTAAAGGTATACGTTGCCTACTGTAGACCAAGCGCTAGGCTCACTTGCCGGCGCGAAATAGTTTTTCAAACTAGACGTGAATTCCTGATTCCACGAGGTATGACTCAGCAAGGCCTCAGAACTACTGACGAAGTTCATTACGCCGTTTCGGTGGTACTGTTCCACTCGCTTGCAGTTTGGTATTACTTCAGCCCCAGAGAACTTTCAGAGGAGAATTTCTGAAATCCTGGCAGGCCCTCCTGGTGTCGTTAACCTGATCGACAATATTCTCATATTTGACAACAGCAAAGAGCAACATGATTCTAGGCTATAGAATGTCTTAGCTAGGTTAGTTAAGTCTAACGTTACGCTTAACAAAGCAAAGTGTGTATTCGGAACACGAAGCACGAGCTTTTCGAGTCACTTTCTAAGTGAAAAAGGCCTACAGCCTGATCCGACTAATCTCAGACCCATTAAAGAGCGGAATTCTCTCTCAAATATTTCACAATGGCGCAGTGTTTTCGGCATGTCCATTCACCTAGGCCGCTTTTTGCCGAACTTAGCGCAAACCACTGCCCCACTACGGGCGCTTTTGGAGAAAGAGACTGAATGAGTTTGGTGTCCATCTCAGAACACAGCTTTCGATAGCTTAAAAGCTCTTATCTCTCAGAAAAGTGTATAGTCATGTACGACCCACGACTTCCCACAATTCTTTTGGCGGATGCCTCCTCGTTTGGTCTCGGGGCCGTCCTTTTCCAAAAACAACGTAATGGTGAGTGCCGCCCGATAGCGTTCGCTTCAATGTCATTGACCGAACCCGAGCAGCGCTATGCCCAAGCAGAAAAGGAGGCACTAGCATTAACTTGGGCTGCCGTAAGATTTGACAAATACATACGAGGTATCGATGTGACGTTCGAAACAGAACACAAACCTCTTGTCTTGTTGCTTGGTAAAATGCCTATCGATTTGTTGATGCCAAGAGTGCAGCACTTCAGAATGCGGTTGATGCGGTATCAATTTGAAACTATGTACGTTGCGGGCAAAAGCTTGATTACGGCGGACACTCTTTCACGAGCGCCGATGAAAGCAGATAAACTCGCCGGTGAACTGACTATCTCGGAAGTCTCGTCATTCGTTAAATCTTGTGTTAACGGCTTCAAACGGGCGACAATTTTGTTAACAGAGTACGTGATGCTCAAAAGATGGACGTTGTTTGTCAGGCCTTGTTAAAGTTGTGACGCCAAGACTGGCCTGAAAAACCAAAACCTCCTGGCTACATACTGGCAGGAACGTGCAGTATTTGCCAAATGCAATGACATGTTGCTAAAGCGGACTAGATTGGTAGTACCTCAATGCCTAAGAAAAGAAGTACTAAACAAGCTCCATGATGGACATCAGGGCATCTGAAAGACAAGAGCTTTGGCGAAAGAACTATTCTGATGGCCAGGCCTCGGTGAACAACTCGCACGGCAAGTAAAACATGTGTTACTTCTGCACAGTTCGTCACCAAGAACTGTGAGTCGTTGATCTCAACCTTAACGCCAAGCTTCGCGTGGGAACGGGTTGGGGTCGACTTGTGTTTTCTCAAGAACTGTCACTACCTTGTCGTGGTCGACTACCTGTCGCGGTACCCGGAAGTAGCCCTTCTTCCCTCAACGAAAACTGGTGTGGTTATTTTCGCACGTCATCGCATTTCGGAGACCGTGGTGACCGATAATGGACCACAGTTTTCTTTCACGTCACTGCAAGCCCTCGGTACCCTCAGGCTAATTGGGAAGTAGAACGCATGGTTCAAACGATTAAGCGCCTGATACTAAAATCCAAGGACCCATACTTCGCTCTGCTTGCCTACAGACCAACACCAGGCGTTCTCGGCTCTACCCCGGCGGAAATTCTTATGGGCTGGTGTTTTCGGACAAGAGTTGCAATAGCACCGCAGCTCCGTGATCCAGTGGAGCCACCGCTGCTTACTCTTGCTACCATAGACAGAACCAACAAAAAGTTGCAAGCACAGTGCTAAAACAAACGTCACTGAGCCAGGAAGTCAAATAGACAAATGCCAGGTGATTCCGTTTAGGTAATGAATATGAAAGCCAGAGGAACTGTGCTAGCGACAGCAACTAGTCCCCGCTCCTACATAATACGAACCGAGGATGGCGTTACGCTGAGGCGTAACAGACGAATGCTGAACCGCATGCTACTACAGGGGAAGCGTGAAGGCAGCTACGAGTTCCCAAACAAAAGCAAATCAGCCAACTTGGTTTCAACGGAAAGGGCGGCACCCGCCACCTCAACGTCCGCTTCAGTGCCTGCAGATTCTGAAGCTGTGATTTACACGTCAGTACCTTCTGCATCCGTGACTGTGACCAGGTCTGGCAGAGTGGTTAAGCGACCAGTTAACTACGGTATCGATGAATAAGCTTTTGTTCGTAGTTCGTTACGACTAATGGTTCTGGGTTTCGTTCATGTGTGAATGTTCTAAATTTTACGCGCAAAACCACTGTTATTTGGCAAAAGGGGGGATATGCCGGAATGTCTTTTCCGTGTGCTGAAAGTGCGCTCCTACACGACACGCTGATTCACCGTGCCTGGCTCATGTATGGAAACACGTGGTACTGAATTCACAGTTGCTACTTAAACCGCTGCGAAATAAACGGCGGGGCTTTTTTTGCTTGCCTATCGCCTGAACTGCCGTCGCCTCCTTGCTTTCACCGATCACCGACTGACATCGGTGGGTGCCGCTAGAAGAACTGCCCCACATCGTTTTTCCAATGATGAAATTGAATGCACCGTCATGAAATGCAAAAATGGTAGTTTATGCCTGCGTTTTTTTTAAGCCGTATTCGCGATCGCCCGTGTAGATTCCTAGCTCTCTTTAAAGCAATTCAAGCAAAGCCTAGTGAATATGTCCTTTCAATGCAATGATACGCCTTATTAAGCCTAACCCTTTGGTTATGCCTACGTTATTCCCTATTAGAATTGCAAATTGAAAGAAGGAAAGAAAGAAAATAGCGCAAACTGCAGCTCTTCTTTTCACAATAAAGTCTTACAATATAATCGCAGTCCCAAGTGTCGGGTGATTCTTCCGAAAAAAAGGCGCGATCATTGCACGAGCCAAGACGATGTATTAAATGAAGAATCTCCAGACAATGTTCACTACCCAACTTACTGTGTGCTTTGGCCTACATTATGCTATTCTTCCTCAAAAACATGATGATCGTGCCAAACTAAATGACTAACAGAATATATGTAAAACAAAATTCTAAAGCCGTGCATGTATTAGCACCACTGCAGAGATAATAAAAGGCTGTCACCATATCAGCTGCAGAAAAAAATTGCAAATGTGCATACACCACGGCATCATACTCACAGACTTTCCTTAGTTCTCGAGCACAGCTTCCCTTGTGGTAATACTTGAGCGTTAAAAGATTAGTTTTTAGTATGAAGACGTCATTGACCCCTCTGATACGATGTCAACACTATCCGTGAAAGAAAGTAATTCTGACCATTTGGCATTCTCTAACCTACACCTAAAACAACAATTTTACTTCTATGCAGCATTTCACTGCTATGGACATGTGATCATTGCAAGTTGGAAACAAAACACGAAAATTTGCTTGGAAAGGGAAATAATACAACCACCCGTTTGTAGCGTGAAGCCCCAAGGACGGGAGCACTCTAGTGGGGAGGGATGCGCCACTTGTTTTACCATTATCAGACAGATAACACGCAGCAGCCGCATCTTTTCACTTTGTGAGCGTCATCTGAAGAATTTTTTTTCAGCACGATGCTTCTTCTAATTCAATACGCTTGTTCATGTTTCAGTACCGTATAGTATGTTTTCACCAAAAAGAACACGCACAGAGGGCATCTAATGCTGTATGTGGCAATGATTTGTCACTGAGACGTAGTAAACGATCTTTAACCCGGTATTGCGAGCAGCATAAGCTTCACATTGACCCCGCGCCTTTCCAAGAAACACGAGAAATATTGAATAAAGAAGGCACCCCTACCACTACATGCTAGATGTGTTCAGCTAGTAGGCTGCAAAAAGGTATAAATACAAGGCTGCAAAGATCAAATAATGCACACATTAAACGTCCAGTGTCTAGACATTGCAGTGAGTGTCAGACCGCACGGTGATGCAGTTTCATCCGATTGGGGCCCTCGCTTCCACTTCACGGCTTATATTGCAAACAAGTGTACATTCTGTTCTCTGTAGGGTGGTAGATATAAATGAAACTTTCTTAGCACTTCTGCCATTTCTTTAGCCTGACAACAGCGATTTAAAAGCTGCAGCACACGTGAGGAATGCCATCAGCCGAAATATATTAAAAAAAAACAGAATGT